TCAGGCCTGCAGCCCCTAGGCCTCGACCCCTGCCACCCTCCACGGCCCGCCCCGAACCCGGACAGAACAGGGCCGGTCCGTGGGCCCCGCGCCGCGCCGGACAGGCGTCGGGATCGCCGCCGGTTCGTGTCGGAGGCCCCGGGGCAGCGGGCAGCGTGCGAGCAAAGTTATCGGGCGGCGGAGGCCTGGGGCTCCGAGAGCGCCGTCTGCGCGCGGAGGGCGGCCAGGCCCTGGGCTCGAGGACTGGGCTTCGGGGAAGGGCGCTTCGGGCTCCTGGGGCTGCTCGGGGAGCCGCGGGGCCGGGCGGCCCAGGGCGGACAGGCCGGCCTCGGCGCCCAGCGCAGGACGCCGTCCCGCCTGAGTGCTGACCGGTGTCCGGCCGGGCCGAGGGCGCTGGGTGCAGGGTCCCTGCCAGCCCGGGGCGAGGCCTACCCGGCCAGGTCCCTCCCAGCCGCGGCCGCAGCCCGGGGGGAGCGGGGAGCCTTCCCTACTTGGGAGTAGATCTTCCAGTGAGCCAGATTTCTAGGCCAAGGGGGACAGGGTCGATCTGGCTGTGAGGGAGGCTGGGTTAGGACACCAGGAAAGGGCACCCCCGGGCCAGGCCGGGGAGGGTTGATCCACCTGCCTGGCAGCTGCAGGGCAGCCGGGACCCTGAGCCCGAGGCCAGTCTCCCCGGGGTGCTGACACGTAGGCCAGGCCTGGCTTTCCCTCCCGGGCCAGCACCGCCCCCAAACCTGGTCCCGGAGCGCGCCCCAGAGAAAAGCCAAGTCACTGCCGCCCGGCGGCCCGGGGCCCTCCCCGTATCCCCGGTTCATTACCAGGCGAGCACAGGTTGTTTGTAAACACTAAATAATGGAAGTAGGCGGAGGTGCGACCAAAGCCGCCGCAAACGCCCGGAGCCGCAGGGGCGGCGGGCGCGCGGCGGGGAGGGAGGAGCGAGGGGGAAGCGGGGCGGATTCATTTCCACCCCGGAGGGCCCGTGGCCAGCTTCTTATTACTTACAGGAAGGTAGTATTAGCAATTCAGGTGAAAAAGAAAGACACGGGGCCGGCCGTGGAATCAATACAGAATGCACCAACGGTTATTAATGTCACCGGACGGTGTTCTGCGCGCGTCTCCGCGGCTGCCGACGCCAAACTGTCTGAACCATTTGCATGGGCGGCCATTCATTATTCCCGATGGTCTCCCTTCGCGCGGCCCGCACGCGCCGGCCGCGGCCCGCGCCCTCGGAGCACTCGCGTCTCCATCTGTAAATTAAAGCAATTACGCAGCAGATCGGATGCGATGTGCGCGGCGGTCTCCGGATGGTCATCAATCACCTTCAACCGAGCTGTCCGCGCCCGCGGATCCCGCGTCCGGGAGGCCTCCTCGCCGCCGGGGAGAGCGCGGGAACGCCGTCATTAATGAGAGGGCCACCCCGGGGCGCGGCGCAGGTCTGCACCCGGGAATCTCCCGAGCAAGCCTGCGCGGCGCCGCGGCGCACGGCCCCG